TGCAATTTAGCAGTATTTTGGCTTCAGGCCAAATTGACAGTAGCCAGGCTGGTACCACCTAGTGCCTCCACTCAATTTCATTTCAATACAGATGATTATCAAGATTAGCAATATAGACGATTTGCAAGAACCCCGGAAGATAAAGACCGTGCACCAGCCAGTCAGCTGTGAGCTGTGAAGCCATGACGTCAAACTCGTCACGCCTGTCTGGTCCCTTTTGTGGAACAGCACAACAGTAAACAAAGCGGTCGAGATGGATGTAGACGAAGACAGACATTCTGTGTTGGCAACGATTCCCAAGATCAAGGATTTAAAGCTGGAACAAAGAGAATGTTTGGTGAATTTTATCAAGGGGAAAGACGTTATTGCCCTTCTTCCTACGGGATTTGGCGCATTACACACCTTGTTTCATGAAATGAAACTGGCTGGTGAATCAGGCTAGAATGACAGAGGAGAGACAGCAAATGTTGACGAGGATATTTGCAAAATATGTATGAAGACGGTGAGAGTGAGAGACGGAAACACCTCAAATGTCAGGGCTCGTGAGGATCAATCACCCGCTAACTGCCGCAAGGATGAGTTTAGCCCTGAGTTCAACAAGTTCAACAAGTTCAACGATTGCAACCCCTCCTGCTGATACTGACGCCGAAGCAACAACTAGGCCCACTACCACACAACCAAGCATAAGGAAGGCATTCGGAAAAACAACAAAGTACCAAAAGGATCGTATCCACTGGAAATCCTGGACAGGTGTGGAGAACAAGTAGTTAAGGTAATAATGTATAACTTGGTAAAATGCTGAGAAGGTTTAAGATATCAAAATTTGGATACCTCCCAACCCTAGTAACAACATTATAACATGGTTTAAAGCTCACACAAGAGTCAATTTTGAGTCATGTTGGACCTTTAAATTCTAACTTGAGTAACAGAGCTTCAGACAGAGCAGAGCCGACAGTTGGCATCAGACCCAAAAAGGAATTTCGATGTCATCAGCTGCACAGTGTCAATACAAAAGTCCACAGCAACACAGCACAGACTTCTCCTACTGTATCTGAACGGACTGGTTGCGGTTTGACCTTGACAAAGAGTTTCGCGGCTGTTCTCTGGGTAAAGTACGTCATCAGAGCCTCTCAGAACGTGGAACAATTACACAGACGTCTCTCCAAATCACAGCGATCCTGATGGAGCCGGCAGCTGGACACTTCCCAACGCAAACACAAACACCAGACTTTGCCGTGTTCAGAAAATGGATTTAAAAAGTCAGTCCAAAGACAGTTTTGTGTTTGGAAAATGACACAAAAAGGGAAAAAAAATCCATCCCAGTCTCATGAACAAGATAAGAGGAAAGTCTGGTGCGACAGACTTAGACAGGAATTTGAAATGGGGAAACGACACTGAGCGCGAGTTTCATTTGAGTGAGTTTGTGCTGAAGGTGCTTTGTGTAACTTTTCTGGTGGAGGATCCGTCACCTGCTTGTTTCTATAGAAATGTCATTGCTCTGCCTGGAATGTTCCACAGTATGACATTAAACATTTATTCAGTCACAAATTGAGCTCAAAATTACCTAGAAAAACAGGTGTTCTGACTGTGAGCGGGGTCGCCTCTCCACAGATCTGACCTGTAACTTGGTCTGATTTGGTCTCCATGAAGATAAAAAGGTTTAACGTATTTTTCGGATTATAAGTCGCACTTTTTTCATGGTTTGGGTGGTCCTGGGACTTATACTCCGGTGTGAATTATATATTAAAATGTTCACACAGACAGCCGTAAGAGGCTCTAGTCACTGTCACTTCACTCTACTGCACATGTCTCCTGCAGAAAGAGCCTCTGTTCTGTTGCAAGTCGTGAAATCTGCAGTCAAAAACAGTAATCAAACAGGAGAAAGAAAGTTTGGAGTAAGAGAGAAACTGGGAGGATGCACCATGAAACTTTCCTGAAGTCACTGGATGGATGGACAAAGCCTGGACTTCAGTGACACCGAAACCATCCTGTCGGGATTCAGAAAGACCCGAATAATTCTAACTGGAACTGATGCTGAGTCTGACGACAGCGACACAGAAGAGGAAGAGACGCTCTGTTTACCTCCGGAGGTCGTGGAGTTGCTCAGAAGTGACACCGAGGATGAAGAATTGAATGGATTTAGTGATTTGGAGTGAGATGGAGAGTTTGGTAAACTTGTTCTGTTCTGTTGTTTATGTTATAGTTTATCTGAAGAACTGTTCATATGTGACGTTAACAGTCTGTTGTCTCACAGCAAGAAGGTTCCGGGTTCCTTTCTGTGTGGAGTTTGCATGTTTCTCCCCGTGTCTGGATGGGTTTCCTCCGGGCGCTCCGGGTTCCCTCCATCAACCCAAAACATGCTACACAGGTCTCTCAGAACAGTTGACAGACAAGGTCAGTTAAAAACAATCAGTCAATCTGCTCAAGAAATTAGCACTGATGCTACAACCTGGTACAATGCATCTCTCCTGTTAAGGTTCATGTAAAAATTGTGCACTGTCCCTGTCTCAAATAAATAAATAAACTTGACGTTCAACATGAAATGTCGGTTCCTGGTCTCAGATTTTATAGCACATTTCCCCTAAAAAAGTGTGGCTTATTGTCCGTCTTATTGTAATTATTATATATGTTTTGTTTTGTTTTTCTTCATTCCACATTTTTTGGCTGGTGAGACTTATACTCCAGAGCAATTTATAGTCTGAAAAATACAATAATACCATAGTGTGAAACATTCCAGACAAAGCAATAACATCTCCATGGAGAAAAGCATTTGATGGACTCTACCAGAAACATGACCCAGTGCACCTCTAAATAAAGATGGTTTTCAATGTCAGTAATAAAAAAAAAAAAAATCATAGTACTGTTTGCACACTAGGGTTATAACTTTTTGAACTTTTTTTCCAAAATCAAAGTCCTGCATCATGATTGGATGAACTTTTTGGTATAATTGAAGAAACCAAACTCCATTTTCAACACTCTTTTAAAAAAGTCCCCCCGAAACAAAAAATAATAATTAAATACACATTACAGCCAATGATGTGAAATGTGAAACCGTGCTGAGTTCTCACAAGGGCCATTACAAGTCAATTTGACTGAAAATGGATCAATAATAAGTTGTACTGCCGTCATAATATACTGCAGTTTCACTTTCTATTCTTGCTTTCACTTTATAAACCATTCGATTCATTGTTGCTAACCAACACTGACAGTCATCATTTTTTGACTTTTGGTGGCCTATTTTATATGATCTTTACCCTGATCATGTGTTTTGTTCCTGTGTTATTCAAGAGAAAATTGCCTTTGGTTATTTTATGATTGAACAGATATGAACCTTCTAACAGTTTTATTCTGGTTGTTGCTTTACCAGAACTTCATTTTGAGTCCGGGGGGACTTTTTTCAAAAATATGACCAACTGAAGGTCAGTTCTTTCCATTACTGGCAAAAGTTCATCAAAATATGATAAAAAAGTGATAACACTATTGCACACTGTATAAAGAATAATTCAAAACAGACAGTGTTACCAAAATGATGTGTACTGCAGTCAAATAAGGATCCTCGGCCCTCACTGTGGAATGGAAAATGAAACGCTCTTTATTACAGCTTATAAAGAATAATTAAAAGTTACATATTACGCCATTTTCTGATCTGTATTATAATGTTATCTCATCAAAAACAGACCTGGAGTTGTGTTTTGTTTCATTCACATATTTAACACACAGATCCAGGCATGTTTTGATGAGGAAACAGTATTATAACATGGTTTAACACTCACAAGAGTCATATAGGACCTTTAAATACACAGAATGAAAACATACAGTTACATACAGTTATATATATATCATTTTTTCCAAGTCAAACCAAAACAAAAGATTATTAGTTGTAAAATTATATGGTAAATGTGTAAACACAAAAAAACGACAGTTTAGTCAGGATATAGACTTGGTTTGGTTCTGTTGTAATCAGTGTTGGGGAGTAACAGATTACATGTACCAGAGTTACGTAATCAGAGTACAAATTATGAGTAACTGTATTCAGTTACAGTTACTGTTTCAGTGAGTGGTAATTGGATTACAGTTACTTTGTTGAAATAAATGGATTACACAGAGGTATTTTCCTGTTTTCACATTTTGGGCTATATCAACCCCTTTTTTTTTTTTTTTTTTTTTTAGTAATTCCACTCATTGCTGGAAAATAAACCAGGTCTAAACTAGATCTAAACCAGGTCTAAACTAGGACTAAAACCAGGACTAAACTAGATCTAAAACAGGTCTAAAACAGGTCTAAACCAGGTTTAAACTGATCTAAACCAGGTCTAAACTAGGTCTAAACAAGATCTAAACCAGGTCTAAAACTGGTCTAAACCAGGACTAAACCAGGACTAAACCAGGACTAAACCAGGAACTAAAACCAGGACTAAACCAGAACTAAACCAGGACTAAACCAGGACTAAACCAGAACTAAACCAGGACTAAACCAGAACTAAACCAGGACTAAACCAGGACTAAACCAGGACTAAACCATGCCGCACGGACCGTGTCTCCTCCTCCAATAATATTTTTAATACAGTTCAGTAAAGTCTGGGCTTTTTATTGCAGACAAAACATCTTATGTGAAGAGTTCCTTGCCTTTGCTTCTCTACAGCAAATCAAGTAATCCAAAGTATTCAGATTACGTTACTCACTTTAAGTAATTTAATGGATTACGTTACAAACTACATTCTGGGGTATGTAATCTGTAATCTGTAGGGGAATACATTTTAAAAGTCACCTTCCCAACACTGGTTGTAGTCCTGGTTTAGTCCTGGTCTTGTGCTGGTTTAGTTTCTAGTTTAGATACATCGATAATCCTTTATTCAGGTAAACTTATTTCCATTTTAATCCTAATTCTGATCTAATTTGTGTGTTTGCAAGTATGAACACAACCTAAAAAACTTGGAAAAACTTTGCAGCCTTTGTACTAAACATGTTTGTCATATCATGTATCCTTCCACCTCCTCCACGCTGGGGCCTATATTGTCCCAGAAAACACCTGTAAAATTGTAAAATGAGAGCAGCATGTAAAGAAGCTCCACTCAGCACCAGCCAATTACAGCCTCATTACTCCTCTTAATAAAGTAGTTACACTGACAATGATGGATCACGCAGCCGGGTTAGTCCGCCCCGCAACTTTACAGAGAAAAGGCCTTTTTAACACGATTAAAGTCAATGCAACAAAACAAAGAAAATCAACTCTGAAACTAAAAATACAACTTTACCAATGCATTAAATGTGCACTGTGAAACTTTTCTGAAAGGGTCCATCACCTGCTTGTGTCCGCGGAGATGTAAGTGCGTCATCTGGAATGTTCCACAGTGTAGCATTAAACCTAAACATCGAGCAGTTATGTCACTACTGGTGTTTTTATTGCAGAAAATTAAATATTCTTACTCACGGATTTGATCTGAAACTTGGCGTAACATCTCGTAACATCTACTGCTTCTCGCCATGGTTATACAGTAGATACCTTTAATGCCATACTAAGGAACATTCCAGACCTCCAAGGAGATAAAAAGGTGGAGGAACAGCTACCAGAAAAGTTACAGAGCATCTTAAAACATTCTTAAAACTAAAACAAAAACCAGTTGTGTGTAGGACTTCTACTTAATAAAAGGTGCTCTGTGTAACTTTTTGGTTGAGGGTCCATCACCTGCTTGTTTCTATGGATACGATGGTCATTGCTCTGCTTCAAATGTTCCACAATATGACATTAAACAGCTCTACCTTACATTTATTGGTTTTATAGCTCAAATATACAGGCTTGTAACTTGGTCTGGCTTGGTCTCCATGAAGACAGAAAGATTTAATGCCGTACTGTGAAACATTCCAGACAAAGTAATGACATGATCCGTGGAGAAAAGCATTTGACGGAACTTTCATCAGAAAAGTGACACAATGCATTATAAACTGTGAAAAGATGACAACCAAACTCAAGTATGAAATAGATTAAAGAGTCAATTATGAAAGGGTTTGGTGAGATTCTATGTTTTATGAATTCTTTCCAAAAACACACAGTCTGGACAGGTTCAAAATAAGTGAAAGGTGGTTTTATTTTTCAGTTTGTGTCCATTGGTCTTCTAAGATGATGTAGAAGTTTGTAGCAGATTTCAATGTGCTTGTTGGTGATGAGATATTTGAGGTCATGTCCGTACATTTTTCCATGGAATATTGTCAGTAGAGTCGGGGTCTCACAGCGCTCGAGTAGAGCTCCGTTTGGGAGGTGCACTTGTGTTGAGAGTCGCTCTTCTTCTGCGGCGACTCATTATAAGACGAGTTTAACTGAAGATGAAGCCAAGTAAGTTCCTTTTGAAATGTTTTTCAAAGTTTGGTGCAGCCTGTTCACTCACGCCTGCTCAAGCCGCCATCTTCAGGTGCAGCCCTGTCCCGCCGCTTCCCCAGTTTAGGCTCCTGGTTCCACTAATGACATCACTCTGTTCAGCCAATGAAATAGCGGGAGGGGAAATGCTGTCGTCACATCACTGAATACATCTCAGAACGTCTAATAAACAACATGTGAACGTTCATTCATTCATTCATTCATTTATTTATTTCGGTCACAGGTATATTTTGACATTAATTCATAAACAGTCATATTTAACATATACAGACCGAAAAGGTGCAGGCTGAAGCTTAAGCTTATTATGCCTTTACCCTTTATTCCTTTGTCAGAGCTTCATCTTGACACCAGTTCATCTTCATAAATACAGCAGGAAGAAACAAACTAATCAGTAACAGAACAACAAAGTTCTACAGCACAAACTAAGTCTCATATTTCATGTATCTGTCCAGAGTTAAACATTTAAACTTCTTTATGAAGTGAAAGAAAGTGGTGCACAATTTTAGGTTTTCTGTACAGTTGTTCCAGAGCTCCACCCCTTTAACAGATTTACAAAATTTCATAATGTTTGTTCTGATTTTCTTTTTAATAAACACGGTCGTGCCTCTGAGCTCGTATCGGCTCTTTCGGATTTTGAACATGTTCTGTAACGATTTTCGACAGGAGATTGTTGTTTACTTTGAACATGATTTTAAGAGTGTACAGGTCGACTAAATCGTAAAATTTCAGCGTTTGAAGGTTTATAAATAATGCATTGGTTGGTTCTTTATAAGTTGATAATGTGATGCTCTTATTGCCTTTTTTTGTAGGGTAAAGATTGGCTTTGTATTCGTCTTATATGTATTGCCCCAAATCTCAATACCGTAGGTTATGTAGGGCATTACCAGCGAGTTATATATAATAAAAAGACTGTTTTTATCTAGGGTATATCTATATTTATATATAATTGCGATCACTTTGGATAGTTTGTTCCTAATTGTATTTATGTGTGATTTCCAGTTTAAATTATGATCTATGGTTATTCCTAAACATTTATTTTGAAAGACTCTTTCTAGTGGTGTATTATTGAGCATAATTTGTACATGATTTAAAACATGTTCAATTAATACTACTGAGTTTGGAAAAATCTCAGAGTAAATGTATATTTTTGTTTATTCAAATAAAATGGCAAATATTGGTAGGGACTATTTTGTCTTCCCCAAATATCAGTTGTGACATGTCCCCATCGTCTCTATGCAAATCTACGCCTTTGCAATTATGCAGTATTTTCTGATGTATGTTATAATGTTGTTTCCTCATCACAAACAGACCTGGAGTTGTGTTTTATTTCATTCATTCATGTTTCGCAGAATTTAGCAAACACAAAACACTCTTTTCCACCTTGTGATGTCATGTGGTCATACTCCACTGGGTTTTTAAACTCCATACACCTTCACTAAAATCATTTGGATAGTCTGGGCCCTGGAATTGCCAATTTCTGCTGAACTAAAAGTAGAAGGTAGCAGTTAACGTCCGCTTCATGACATCACAAAGTGGAACAGAGCATTTTGAGCTTTATAGATGTAGACAAACTAATAATAAAGCATCACTTAAACATGTGTGAATGAAACTAAACACAACTCCAGGTCTGTTTTTTTACGCGGTAACAACATTGTAACGTAACAAGAGTCAATTTTGCGTAATATAGGACTTTTATGACATTAGTCCACACGTGCGTTGTCAGGGAATCTTTCGTTTTTTATTGTAAAGTAACAGATCATTGCCATACAGGGATCTAAAATATGTCATGTTTGTATATTTGTTTGTATTTCCGTTCCCCGTGTCGTGTGTAAACCTGTGTCTAGTATTGATCCAGAGCAGGTGTCCCCCACACGTCTCCGCCTCCTCGTACCATCCGTCACATTAATCACATTTACTAATCATAATCTAATTGCTTTCAATTACTGGTGAATTGCTTTTCCTCCAGACTCAGGAAAATATTATGTTGAACAGACAATTTATTCCAATTCTAATTTGCGAGCTAATTTGAATAGGGAGATTACGCTCCTCTTCAAACATTATCAACTGTTATTTCCCTCAAGTATCTAATCTGATTATACTGCAGTAGTCCGCTGTGCTGTTGTTGTTATTACACACGACTTAAGATGAATAAAACGGGGCTTCCTGGAGAGGTGAGCCATATATGGTCATGCTCAAATAAGAGGTCTGTAAAATATAAACAGTGAGTATAACCAGGCCCGTTGTCAGATATTTGAAGGGCCGGGGCAAGAATCCTCACATGGGCCCCTTTCTCGTATAAATTAATAGAAAGGGGGTTCAAATCTGGGCCCCTAAAACTCTGGGGCCAGGGACTAAGAAAATTGACAAAAAGCTGTAAAAAATAAGACAAAAAAAAAAATTCAAAACCAGTTTTCCAGACAAGGTTATAAGGTCCATTCATTTTTCATGCAATACATTGTTTTTTAAGATATTTGCAAAATTTTAATGTGAATTTGATAAGGTTTGCAATAGGAAAATAAATAAGAATAAAATAAAATAAATAATATAATATAAAGCTTCAACAAAAATACAATCAAGGTCATAAGGTCCAATCACTTTTGATTCAATACTTAGACAGAGATAAACTTTACTCATCCACAAGGGAAATTAGTTGGACACAATAGCTCACACATCATAATATAATAATATAATATATTATAATAACAAAGAATATATATATATATATATATATCATACAAACGTAAAAGAAAAAAAAAAACCTGCAAAAACAGCAAGAGACTGTACTTAAATCAGGCATAATTATGCATACAATAAAAAAATAAATAAATAAATGAAATACAGGAATATAGTAATACAAAAATATTTCTCAGCTATATACAAGAGATCATAAGGAGAAGGAGAAAAAGGAGTAGAATAGTAATAGTAATAGTGAGTATAACATCTAGAAAAGCTGACAAAATTAGTTTTAAAAATTCAAAACCAAATGCCCAGTGTCCATTTACTTTTGGTGCAATACTATTTTTTTTAATGCTGCACTATGGATCTTGGTTGGGGGTCTGTCACCTGCTTGTTTCTATGGATACGTCATTGCTCTGCCTGGAATGTTCCACAGTATGAAATTTACCACATCTACCTACATTCATTCAATTATTGGTGGTTTTACTGCTCCAAAATACCTAGAAAAACAGACATTCTGATGCTTGCCTCTCCACAGATCTGACCTATAATTTGTTGTGGTTTGGTCTCCATGAGCATAGAAAGGTTTAATACCATACTGTGAAACTTTCCAGACAAAACAATTCCAAACAATTCTAAATCAATTGTCCAGACAAGGTTATAAGATCCATTCAATTAATGTTGGTTGCAATACCTTATTTTTTGGGTATTTGCAAAATGTTACGAGGTCTGTACTAGGAAAACTAATAGAAATAAAATAAAACTTTTTAAAGAGAGGAAAAAAAAAATCCAACCAAGGTTATAAAGGTCCATTCACTTTTGGTACAATACTTTATTTTGAAAGTAGTAGTAGAGGATGTGCGGTCTGTAATAGGAAAACCAATAGGGATAAAACTTTTAAAAGAAAAAAAAGTCCAAATAAGGTTGTAAGGTCACTTTGGTGCAGTGTTTGAATCTGA